AATATTATTCAAAAATCTCGGCGCATGTTCGACTTTAGAGACCAGAACTAGATGTCTTCTTTCGGTCGCTTTAAAAGCAAGTTTGGTTCACATCTCTGCTCTTTCAATATGCTGAAGCAAAACAGTATATAGAGAGAGTTTAAATTTGAGATTTAAATTTTTATTTTACTTTATTTTATATATTTGTTTTTAATAGGAGAATTTATAACAACCGCTGGAGACGACGTAGTAACCCTAAATTCGGTTTAAACATTCCTCCAAATGGTTACTTGAGCGAAGAGTTGAGTGAAGAGGAAATCATCTTTGACCGGGCTGTCCTGGAGCGTAAAAATAACTCATCAAAAACAGGTAACTCAAAAGCGACATCGTGGACATCTCCCAAGTGGATGAAACCGGACCATTATTCGACTATTCTGTCTACGGGTACACAACAGGAGCAGAAAATATGGACTTTGACTGAAAAGCCAAGATCTACTCCCCTAATGGCTGTCTTTGAAAACACCAAAAACCCTGGAACAGAGATTTGGACCGGCAATAAGAATCCGGATCCAAAATTAACGGAGGCTTGGTTATCGACGTCATCCCTGTCTGAATCAGACGTGTCCACACCAGCTGAAACATCTCGGTCTGCATCTCTCACCAGCGTATCTGTATTTTCACTGACACCTGAATTTGAAGGTCGTGACGATGAATTCTCTTTACATGAGTCAATTTCAAGGTGTAGCCTGAACGAGATCACAGTTTCTGACCCACTGCCTGCAAGACCCCTCTCGACCACTGTTCCAACTGCATCCTCAATTCTGACCATCCCTGAAACAACAACATTACCACACCCATCTAGCCCTCAACAGTTCATCAGTTTGGTCCTTAACGCGGCTTCTTCTGATAAATTGGCACATACCTCGTCGATGGAACTGGATCGCATCACTTCTTCTACAGAGTCGTGCAAGCCAAATGCGATTTTGTCAGAACCCTCCCCTTCACCACACCCATCTGCTACGCAGCCGTCCTCAATTTTAAGTCTACGGCCGGCCTCTTCTGATGAACTAACACTTACAACGTCAATGGCAATGGATCGCAAATCCTGCAAAATACCCGTGGCTCCACGTAATGAGGTTGTCATTGGAATAAACGCAGAAGAAGATGAAGGAATCTCTTGCCCAAATGAGAGTAATAAGGAAATAATTGGCAAGAAATCAGCGGCGCAAGTATCGATAACAATGGAAAATACGGTGGAGGAAGCAAGCAAAGACATGTTGTGTGTTAGTCGAGTGTTGTAAATCATGCTGCTGAATACAGATTTTTCTCATATTCGTCGTAACAAATAACGGATATCGGTCGTGGAAAAATTCTGAAAGTAAGGTTATGTGCACTTTTCAGAAAATAAAATCTAAATCTTTGTTTCAATTGTTGTTGACATCCTGATCACAGAAAACTAAAATGTTAGCACCAATTGAGGTTAACATCAATAGTTTTATTCACTCAAAAAGGTCTTGTGTATAGCTTTAAATTTGAAGACAATAAATGAATTTATTCAGAGTAAATTACTTCCCCACTCGTGTTCGTGTATCCGTTCAGCCCCCCGCTGAAATGTTTCAACTATTCATGGTGTTCGAATAAAGATTTGTTAGAGTTTTACTCTTCTTGTGATTTTTTTACTTCCTTCAGATTGTGCAATGCTTTTTTTTTTTTTTTGTGCCCCCCCACCCCCTCCCCCCTTCTCAACCTCAAAAAATATGGAGGCTTTTGTAAAAATAAGACTGAAAGTATTTCACAAACCCCGAAAGCGAAGTTTCCCCTGGAAATAAATTTCAAAGCGAAAGTTTTTAGGCGTTAGTTTCTTTAAAACTGAAATTGCAGCTTACCTGTTACGATCATTTGCTTTACTTGATTCTGAAGGTGTGAAGTACGAGATTGAGTAACACTGCTACCGTGTTGGGGTTAATAAATGTTAATAATTCGTTAATAATTGCAAAGGTTTGTGATTGTAACCATAACACTAACATAAACAGGTCGTTAAATGGATGACGTCATAACACTAAGGAAATATTTACAATTCGCCCACTTGGTCATTAATAACTTTACTTAGTGAAGAGGAGTTAGGCTAGATTTTGTTTCTCCATTATTCAATGTTCTTACGTCATTTTAAAGCCATTTTGAAGTAACAGTGATGTTTGAAATTTCTTTCCTTAAGTATGCTTCATGAAGTTGAACGATAAGATGTGAAAATAAATGTTTGTGATCTCGTGACAAAAATATGTTACCCCACCCTCCAAAGTGGCCCTTGGACTCTTTATGATACGGTTTCGAGTAAGTTCTGACGACATTGAGCTGTGCGTCGAAGAAGTAAGCGTGGTTGTCATAGTTGTTACAATAATCTATTCAGCTTTCTTTAGTTTTTCTACCAGGAATACAAGATGAAAGTCGCTTTGGTGTTGGGTCTAGCTTTTTTCTGCTCGCTCTGGACAGGAGGTAAGCGGATATTTCTTTAGCGAAATACTCTACACATTCGTGCGGTATGTCATGTCAGAGAGTTCGAAGGCCGCTGTAAGCTCAGGAAAGGAATCTGACATCGTCCTTTCTCTTGTTTAAATATCTTGCCGTTTCAGAGTCAGTTTTACTGCTAATCCTTGTAGTTTTCCCTTGTTTCACGAACATATACATTAGTGACGCAAAGCTTGGCGAGTGACGCGGCAAGTTCAAATTTCTAGCCTTTAACATACAAAACGGACACTTCCAAGATAACACTTCACCATCTTTGAGTCGCCTCACTTGAAATTTCAGCCAGCAGTGTAATTTCTTAGCTACAACCCTGTCATTACGATGATAGGGTTTCGATTGTTTTGTGCCATAGAGATATTACGGCAGTGGAAATCCAATATTTTTTCCGCATCCTAAGAACTCTATGAATCCTGAATTGTTGGAATCTGTGAAGAAGCTTTGCTAAATATCAGTACTTAAGCTAGCGCTTAGTTCTTAATTTCTTTATGTTTTGTATTATGACTTACAGCAAACTTTAATAAAACCATTGTCAGTAAATCACCTGTACTTGTATTTAACAATTATTCGCCGAAGGCGAGGTGAATATCGTCGAATAATCCCCGAGACGAAGTCGTGGGTATTATTCGACAATATTCACCGACCCTGAGGCGAATGATTGTTTTAGTATAATTTCAGAGCTGCACAACAAAGAAATGTCAAAAATCATAACGTTTTAGTAACATTTATTAACATTTTATTTTAACATTTTAAATAAACCGCGTGGAGCAGTTTATATAGCGTCATATAAGGAACCGCTCGACCAATCAGATTGCTGGAAACTCTTTGCTCAGCTCTGAAATTATACTAATAGCATTTTGTGCGCGACCTGCACGTGAATGGCGCAGTCATTAAAATTAATTCGCTCAATCAAGTATTTTGTGAGACACCAGTTATACTACAGTGTGAAAAGTAGCAGATACCCTGCCTAAAGGAAATTTGGCAAGATTTCCGTATAACCCCAAATATTTATTATGCATTCAATCTTTGTTCCATGAAAACAATGGAAAAACAAAAGATTATCTTTGAGACAATAGTTTTGTTTTGGAATAGTGATCTTCTGTTTGGAATAGTGATCTTCTGTAATATTTTCGGTAGATTCTAGTAGCTCTTGATTTGTTAAGCCTGGTTATAATCGCAGGCGATGGAATGATTGCTGAAACCACTCAACCAAAGATCACGAATCACATGTTTCTATATGATCCCAGCCGATTGCAGCAGTCTGTGACAACCGAGTCCATGGTTTACCATTCAGTGGTAATACAATGTAACTCCAGTCAACCAACATAAATGCAAAGGATGCTGAACTTTTAATAGGTGTTAACATTCTGCTTCTGTTGTCTTTACTTAAATGGAGAATCGCTGCTAGATCAAAGAAGAAATGTCACTTCTTGGTGCAGAAAGTCTTAAGAAAGAGAGAATTCTTTGCTACTAAGCGATTGAACAAACATCGTATTTTCTAATTTCTTCCATAAACTGTTCCGTGTCAATTACACCTCCCATCTTGTCAAAACACACGCACTTGTAAAAGTTGATAAACAACTGGTTGTCATGGTATCATGCCGCTTACATAGTATTATTGGACACATTCCAATCGTATGATCGCAGAACTTTGTTCACATATGATTGCACTCCATCACAGACGATTGCAACTGATTGCATGAATAGAACATGGTTCTATTCCTACGATTGCAATTGATTGGACACGATCGTGTTCGCTGGCAATTGAGTGTGGCAATGTTTGCTGGCAATGTTTGCTGGCAATAGAGTGTGATTGCCTGGGATCGTCTGGGATCATATGTGAACCAGGCTTTACAGTTGTGAAGTGCTGGCAGCTGCAGTACTGAGTATACAGTTAATGAACATTAAAGATTAATGTATGAGTAATTTTGAAATTTGAACCGAAGAAATTTTAGAAGATGGAATACAAGTGGAATGGACTCTTTTAGAGGCTAATAGACCTGCATTACTATTCTCAAGAAAAATCAGTAAATTACTGGGTTTTTGAGGAAACAAGGCTGGTAGGGGATTACAAGGGCCTCCGTAGAAAATTTTACTTCAGAGGCCAGTGGTAAACTTGTCAGACAAAGCCAAAATGTCAAATGTGAAATGAAAGTTAGAAAACAAACAAACAAACAATTTTAAGTTACTGTAGTAGTTAAGGTGCACATGTCATCATTTCATGGTCTTTTGGTGTCTCTGCAATTCTAGAGAATTCTTTTCTCTAAATAATTATATTGAACTGTAATTTTGCAGCTACTAGAGAAATTTAGTATAATTTCAGAGCTGAACAAAGAGTTTCCAACAATCTGATTGGTCAAGCGGTTCCTTATATGAGGCTATATAAACCGCTCCACATGGTTTATATAAAATGTTAAAGTAAAATTTAATGACATTAATAAATGTTACTAAAATATTATGATTTTAGAAATTTCTCTGTTGTTCAGCTCTGAAATTATACTAAAACAATTATTCGCCTCAGGTTCAGTGAATATTGTTTAATAATCCCCGAGACGATTATTCGATGATTATAATCACCTCGCCTTCAGCGAATAGTTGTCAAATATAAACATGTATACCAGATATATACTAATTATCCAAGTGTGTTTGGTAGAGTAATCCCCAAAACGAGTACAAATATCTCATATGGTATTTGTGCTCCAGAGAACCAGTTAGACAGGTTTTCTCGCATTGCGTAAGTGATGAATCGGATTGAAGTTACGAAAAAATGGTGGACAATTTAAATTATTTTTCTGATGATGAAGAGTTGGAAAATTGGCTGACGAATATTGCTCCAAATTTAGTAGATAAATTGAACAAAGAAAAGCAGTTAGAAGACAGTGAAATTTCATCATTCATTTAAGAAAATGCTGTGCCAATTCTGTTCCGTTTGGCATACTACTATCACACACTTTCAGTGAATAAATATCTGCGAAATTTGCCTACATTGAAATATCAATTGGGTGTGTTGGATAATAAATCTCTATTGAAATGTTTTGGTGAGTACTGATTGTATGGCTGACTATTTTTACTCATTGTTTATATTTTGACTCGCCCAACAGGCTAGTCAAAATGCAGCACAACTTGTAAAATTACAGAGCGATACTACACAACAGAATGTTAAATAAGATATAAATTATATATTGACAATGCTTTCAATAAGATTTGAAATAGGTGGCTACCTGGGTACAACACCTGCCGGAAAGAGACTTCATTACGACTTAGCATGGTGACTGTGACTTGAGCCCGGTGAAATATACCCGGCCACTCACAACAGAGTACCCGCGGGAGCTCCGGCGAGTGCCGGGTCTTATTGAAAGCACTGTATTGATTATCTATTTTTTAATTTCACTGTGATTCCAAATTGAACGTTCTTTTTACCAAAGGCCACCATGCTAAAATTAAAGACAAACATGACTGTATTAAGAAATTGGACATAATGGGGCCATTATAGCGAAAATGATGATTTTCTAATATTTATTGAGGTAGGACACAAAACAAAGACCTTGGAACAAAATAATTATAATACAGTTAGTTTGCAGCTTTAAATTCAAGTCTTTGGCCTCGACATAAGAAAAGCTTCCCTGAATAAGGCAGTAAAACTTGTTCTCACTTTTTCTGCAGGGTTACTTCTAAAGTGCTCATCTTGTTTCAGTACTGTTTCCTACGAAGACTGTCAAAATAACCTGACAGTAATTAATTGCAGAACAAACCAGAAATGTTTCCAGGTGGAAGCGAGATCTGCGAATGGATCCGATGTAGAAGTTTTGGTTCAAAAGGGATGTCTTAATGAAGAGGACTGTGCTGCTTACAGACAAGGGGACAATTCCTATTGCAATGGTAAGAGAAGTGACAACTATACAGTAGACTGCAAAGGAGAGTGTTGCTCTAATGGTGATGAGTGTAACAAGGAGAGTCTTCTCAACCCAGGCAAGTGCACTGTTTGTAGTGGAGTAATTTTACAATAAATATATCTTATTTGACGTTTTGTTGTGTAGTATCGCTGAGTATTTTTATGAGTTGTGCCGTATTTTGACGAGCCCGTAGGGCAAGTCAAAATACAAATAACGAGTAAGAATACTCAGCGATACTACACAACGAAATGTCTAATAAGTTATTTGCGAATTTTGCAGATATTTATTTACAGGGGAGTGCGTGACAGAAGTATGCGAAGTGGAACGGAATTGGCGCATTGTTGTGTTGCTGTTTCTATTTTCTTCATTAAATGAAGAAATTTTCTGATCATCAAGCTGTTATTCTTCGTTCGATTCATCTAGTGAACTTGGATCTATATTTGCCAGCCATTCTGACTCTTTGTCGTTGGAAATATGTCGATTCAAATTGTCAGCCATTTGTTTTTTTTTCGCAACTACAATCCAATTCTTCACTTGCGCGATGCGAGAAAACCTGTTTAACTGGTACTCTACAATAGACGAGTACAAATACAGCATGATATTTGTACTCATCTATGGCGTTATTTATACTCGTCTAGATGTAGTTGGATAATAAGACAGTATACAGAATTTTTATGGGTAAAAATATTGCAACAGTAAAATTTTAAATTTTTTTTGCTTCTACTTTTTTTAAACTTCTGGGCTGTGCAGAAGCTTTGCTAGTTTTCACTGCTAAAGCTAGCATTTACTCTCAACTTTTTATGTTTTGCATCATGGAATGCAACTTCAATAATTAATGGTGTTAGTAATGGCCTGTTGGTCATATGCAGCACAGCTACATGTACACATTCTTTATGTACATGACATAGCAAGAACACATGCTGTCCACATAGGATTTCGTAGTAGGTACCAATACTATAGTTTCAAGGTCTCTTAATTAGCATGTCTATGCAACTCAAGAAATTTCCCATCACAAGATTTTCCTGATAAGCAACTCTTTAAAGTGCAGTAGTACTTTGATAAAAGAAGGATTTTTGTTTTCACTTGATTCCAATTGTATTAATTTTACCCAAGACCTGTACCTTGCAAAGATAAGAGGCAAACTTCAACTGAGATTAACGAAGGTTTCAATGTCTTCTTAAAGCTATCATCAAGAGAATGATGATTATTTTATTACAGCGAGGAGTCCTGCAATTACATGTACATGTGATATGGCTAAATTAATCCTTTGCTCCCCTAGAGTGACCAGCATCTCATTTCTCCTTACACAGAAAGGTCATAAGAATAAAGGAATTGATCACCAACTGAAGAAACTTTGGATTATTTACAAAACAAATTATTTTTGACGGCAACTTCTAAAGGAAATGTAAAGAGAACACAGTGAAGAATGAGCATATTACTTACATTGACCTTGAAACACCCTGAAATTGAATTAAATTAAATTAAATTATTTTGCAACTATGATTAATCTCAATAAACACAAACCCAGCATCTGGAGAGGACATCTTGTTTATTGTTGCAGGATACAGTGAGGGTTAATCATCACACAGAAAATACAGCTGTGAACAAACAACAAAGCAAAGTTGAAAATGATGCCTTCAAGTGGCTCTTGCATAGCTTACAAAATCTTAAATAGCGAGTAACCCTCACAGATTCATTACACCTGCAAGCTTAAGCATGCCCAAAATACTTCTTTATGTAACGTGATTCATACACACTGAACATTAAATCAGACCTCTCAACCTCAAAACACCAAAAATCTGGAGACTGATGTAAAACAATCTGGAGATTGGTCGACCAGCAGACAAAACCAAGTAAACACAGGTTCTTAAATTAAGAGAAAGGGTGTTTTTGTCCTGCTCATAATTTACTTAAAACATGCGTGGACCTTAACAACACAGAAATCAACTTTAAATATAACATTCGTCAGGTTCATCAATTGTCGAACAATTGCTGCCATTTTGATAATGATTGTGTCGTGTCAAAATGCGAGAGACTGGTTATGATGACCTAATTTGGAACAGGTGTTCTATATATGGTCATGGACGTCTCACGGTGTTTCCAGCGAGCAGACAGATGAAGAACGTAACAGCTTGGTTTGTTATGGATTTGCACGGAATTGGCACAAAAAACTCACCACTAGCAAGCCAAAAATGAAAGTATACAAAAAATTTATCCTAAGCTTGCGCCTCTATTTATTATGAGATTTGTCTGTCTGGTCGTGAGACTGTGAGATTGAACTGAAAATCGTGAGTCTCATGACAAAATCGTGAGACTTGAGAGGTCTGTTAAATGTTAGTGTTATTAGCAAAATGTTACAAAATAGATATCCATCAAAAGAATCTCCCGGGTGAGGCAGGCAAACTTGTCCTCGTACAGTTTCGATCTCAATTGATCTTTAAAGTGAAAATTTGTTGGTATAAATTCATATGTAGGAATCAAGTGCTTATTAAGTTAAACAGATATAATCTCTTTTGAAACTAGAATTTGGTACACACTACATGTACCATTGATTCCATTATTCTAAAGCTCTACACTTAAGCTAAAAGGAACTCTGCTGTGACCTACAGTAGTTTGTGACAAGGTTAATTATTATATACCACATGCCTAAAGTATACTGCTCAAATCAGCAATTTTTGAAATTGTTATTAATTAGTACATTCCATATAAATGTTTATAAAGCAAAGGGAAAGCTTCAGGTTAACAGTTATGTACACTGTATTATTGTAAATATGTCCCAACACCGTGCCAGGGGCCAGTGAAACAAAAGAGATGTGATTTAATTTTAGTTTTGTAAACAATGATTGATCATCTGGTGCTGGAACATCTTTTCCAGTTCTTTTTTTTTTCTGATTGCTCCAGGGTGACTGGAGTCTTCATAAGGTGTACAGTAATTTTAAAAACACCAGGCTCCGGTTGTTCAAAGGACGGATAACGCTATTCAATGGATAAATCGCTATCCAGTGGATAAGTGCAACCAAGACGTACAGTGCTATCCACTGGATAGAGATTTATCCAGTGTATAGCATTATCCATCCTTGGAACAATCGGGGCCAGAAGTTTAATTCTGGGTGGCTTACAGTGTGTAGCTTTGAACGCTGGTATGTCAAGTATATTTACTAGAAATTTATTTTTTTATTATTATTGCAGATTTGCCTTTAATGTGCTCATCTTGTTCAAGTAGTGTTTCCTATGAAGATTGTCAAAAGAAGTTGACGGTAGTTAATTGCACTGACCCCAATGGGGTATGCTATCAGGTAGATGAAAAGTACAAGAAGGGAGATGAGGTAACAATTGTTATTAAAAAGGGATGTGACAAGAAAGACTTCTGTAATGCATACAGCAAAAGGGACATTGGGGAGTGTAAAACAAAGGAAGCACAAGGCTATTCAGTGGACTGCAAAGCAAAGTGTTGCTCAGATGGCAATAAGTGCAATGAGGGAAATCTTCTGCCCAACCAAGGACCAGCATTTGTAATCAGTGTAATGGTCTTGTTGCTTAGTTTGCTTTTGACCCTTGTTAGTGTTAATTGATTTTGAAAAGCTTCAATTTCTTGGACTTATGAACCTTTAAATCTCTTGTTAAGGGATGCATTTAGAAATCCTTGTTGGCTTTTAAAAAAATTTCTAGATTCTCTTTAACTTGTTGACCTTTAAGAGTGACTTAAATATCAAACATTTTTTTGTGACAAGAATAAGGGAAATAATCACTGACTAAAGAAGTTCTTGATTATTAATCAAATTCTCCTTGTCAGCACCTTAGGAAATGTATAGCGAACAGTATGGAGAATATGCATACTGATGTTAGGCTGTAAAGGGTTTTAAAGCATTGGGTGTTCATTGAGCATCAATTCATCAAAGACCATGCATCTATGAAGCAGAATCTTCAAGTTAAATTTTCTTGGCCTAAGCCAATTTTTTTTTTTGTTAGACATGGAGAATATTCTTACTTTATGCTGTTCTCTATGATGTACTTTTTCTACTTTTCATAATGAAAACTGTACTAAATTCCTTTCTTTTAACAAATATATTAAGGAGGATTTGATGTCAGGGTTACATACCCAGGGATTTCATTTATTTTGGAAGTAGGCATATATTAGGACCTAAATAGGACAAGTGTGTACGAGTTACGGTGTAAGGGTATTTTAAATCATAAATCATAGGGTTCAATGAAATAGGGGATAGAAGTGGATGGGGGGGGGGAATTTCTCCTATGACATGTTGACGTAAAAGGGAAAACAATTTTTTTTTAGTTATACTTTTTATATCAGGTGTTTTTTTTTTTGTTTTTTCAACATTCCTTTTTTTTCTTTTTCTTTTTTTGGGGGACTTGACCAGTTTATTTTGATTTATATACCAAATTTGGAAGCATTAAGTTTAAACTCACAGGCTTCTTTACTGTTCAAGCCAGATCATGTGAGAATTTACAAGGGTTTGGTACATTTAATAAAAAATAGCTGGTTCATGACTCAAGTAACACTTGATGTATGCAGATGAACAACAATAGTATTAGATTTCCAATATTTGTCTGATTTATTTCCAAGGACATGTCATTTAGGAGAACGATTTTGAACTTTTTGTCTTTATAATTATCATTATATTGGTCATTTATGATATAGCCAATTGATTCTAGATACTAGTGGTGTATGCATGTATTGATGATGTATTTATTAAAGTAAATGAGTCAATGTGTAAAGAGCTTTTTAGAGGTTGACTTTATAGGCTATGCTAGTTTGTGGTTTAAAATCAATCAGCAATTAAGGAAGTGCATACATTCTTTTGTTTTGAACTGTGTGTGTTCGTTCCGTTCTATAGCCTTGTCAATAGGCTCTCATGCACACTGGTTCTTGAGGATCTTGCAGGCTTTTCATAAGCACTGTCTAAATTTACCTGTCAGCAGGAGATCTGCAAAATTGTGGCACAAGAAATACCACACAGACCTTCCAGGTGGCTGTACCCTATGAGAGCATGCCTACAGTTTACTCATTCTATGGCACAGAGTTATTGTTCTCTAACAATAAAGGATATATTGAGTAAATTAAGTTGTGAACCTTTAAATCTCATGGTAAATGGGTGCATTTAAAAATCCTTACTTAAACCTGTTTACCTTTAAGAGAGATTTAAATCAAACATTAAGGTGACAAGTATTGAAAGGAAATAATCACCAACTGAAGAAGTTCTTGATTGTTAATCAAATTCTCCTTGTCAGCACCTTAGGAAATATACGGAGAACAGTATGGAGAACATGCATACTGATGCTGGGGTGTAAAGGGTTTTAAAGTGCTGGGTATTCATTGAGCATCAATTCATGGAAGTCCCTGCATCTATATGCAGAATCCTCCAGTTAGATTTTCTTGGCCTATTGGCTAAGTTGTATTCTTCTTTTGTTGGACATGGAATATTCCTGGGTTAATTTATGCTGTTTTATACAGTGAACTTCTTCTCATGTACTTATGATGAAAAAAACAAAAAGCTTCAATTTCAATTTCAATTTTGTGTTAAAAAAAACACGAAGAGGATTTGATGTCAGGGTGACACTCCCCTTTTACCAAGCATGCTCATTATAAAACTGGACGAGACACTTGCGTGTGTAATGAGGGTTTGTCCTGGTGTACCGGTTCACAAGGGAATTACCATTGTTCTTTCTTTGTTTCGGAGTTATCGGTTAGCTATTGTGTATTGTTTGGTCTTTTGTATTGGCTCTTGTGAACCGGTACACAAGGACAGAACCGTAATGAGGCATGCCTCATTACGGTTCTGTCCCATTATAATGTCTTTATTGGCTCCTGTAATCCTTTAACTCAGAGGTTTTTTTCATGTTACGTAGCTTTGTGTGATTTTAATACATCAAAGAAATAGTTGATAAGTATCTGTTGGAGAGTACTGTAGTATCATATTATGCATGAACACTAAGTCCTCCTAACTACTTATGAAGTAAATGTGTATGAATTACGGTGTAAGGGTATTTGAAATCAGATGTTTTGGGTAAACATCAAATCGTGGATGTGGGAAGGGGAGGGG